CTTGGTTAAACATAAGTGCAGGATAAACTATTTTACAGTAAAGTAGAATTATTTTCAGCTTTAAAGATGTTTTTTATAATGGATGTTGGGGTTCAGATGTCATCATTGTAGTAATCAGATAATATGGCAGTAGTTGTCAAGTTTTGTCAGGTTTGGTTTGCTGTGTGATTCCCCACTTGAAAGGGATAGTTTCCACTGTGAAGTTTGAACTGGATTTCACTCAAAGAGCCTTTAATTTAGTTGACTCATCTTTATTTTTTGTATGATGGACCACAAAGCACACAGGTGCAGGTGAAAAACCTCAAAAGAAACAGAAACACATCTATTACATTCTAAAACTAACAAATAAATACATTGTGAATAATCAGATTTCCACCCCCTTTAAACCAGTTATTTCAAAAGTATAATAAATAGCAAATATTTTATAGTAAAATTCAATAGCAATAAATAAATTAGCATTTTTATCAACATTTTGTTAAATATTTTGAAACATTCTGACATTTCTTTTTTTCCCTTTCTACTTTAACCAATAAACACCAAGTGTATTTTTTCTTCTTTCTTTTTAACTTACTAGCTTGACTTCAACAAGATTAAACAGTTTGATACAATCAGAGTTCATTTGCTGCTCCAATAAAGTTCAGCAATGAGCAACAGCATTGTGAGGCTTACCGGCTGTCTTTTACAGTTTGTAGAAACTATTGCACAGTTCTGAATTTACATGCTACCAGCACTGTTTGCTTCTGATGCTCTTAAACAGGAGTGACAGGTCAGTCGCACCAAAAGTGCCTACACTCTGATTGCTGGGAGATTGAGTCCACCTGGTTCTCACTAACAGGCGGAGAGAAGCTGCAAAAAGGTGCAGCAAAGGGGTGTGTCAGAGGGGAGTGGTTACCTAGCAGTTCACCAGAACAGTAGTTTTGGGTTTCTGTGTTCTGGCTTTAATGTGTCTCGTTTGTTTGTTTGTTTTTTTTTTGCTTGTTTGTTTTTCCCCTCTGCTTCAATATGAGTGTCAGAACTCCTTGAACATTTTTTTTTGTCCTCTGCCAGGCTAAGACCAAGGGCTGCCAGTCCCGGGTGGACATCGGCATCAAGTATGCAGACAAACAGGAGCGGATGTTTGACGAGGAAAAGCTGAAGGCTGGACAGTGCGTCATTGGCTTACAGGTCTGTATTAGTTAATAGCACCTCCCCTTATTTAGAGTTGCTGTTTCCCATGACTGAATGCATATTGGTATGCAGTGACTGTTACTGTCTTTGGAAAACAACCTGCATCTGGGTTTAGATTTTCTCTTGAGATATTTGTAGAAAATGTTTGAGCTGACATGCCCTCATCTCTTGCTGCACAGTGTGAAACTAGAATAGCTCCTGACTTCATAAACAGCCTGTTTCAGTAGCTGCTTTACTCATTGTTCTGGTAACACTTTTGTTTGCCTCGTTGCTAAGGAACTTGTCAAGTGACATGTTCAAGTGTTTTCAGCATGCTTTGGTACAGTTTTGTAACAGCTGACTGAAACTTGAATCATGCATTAAATGATTAGTGCAGTGTTTTTCAACCCTGGTCCTCAAGGCACACTGCTCTGCATGTTTTAGGTCTTTCCCTGCTTCAACACACTTGATTTCAATTGATGGCTGATTAACAAGCTTTTTCTGAATAATTTAAATGGGGTGTGTTAAAGCAGGGAAACATCTAAAACATGCAGGGCAGTGTGTCTTGAGGACCAGGGTTGGGAAACACGGATTAGTGGATAAACGAGCATCACATTTCTCCACACTTCAAATACTGCTATAATCCAGACCATCCTGTCTGCTTTAGCTACCCTCTTCTGCCCTTCCTGTCTGCAGATGGGGACCAACAAGTGTGCCAGCCAGGCTGGGATGAATGCATATGGCACCAGGAGGCATTTGTATGACCCAAAGGTTCAGATCCAGCCCCCCATGGACAACACCACCATCAGCCTGCAGATGGGAACCAACAAGGGAGCGAGTCAGGTAATGCATCACTGTCTCATTATGCCACTGCTCTTGGGCTTCAGGGGAAGTGAGCAAAGAGAAGAGGGGGCGGTATTACCTCAAAATATGATATATGATCATATTACACATTTTCTAGGGGTTTCTTTCTAATTGGATTTGGCCAAACAAACATGCAACTTCAAAACAGATTTTTATTTTTTATTTTCCTTAAACGGTCACCAGAATGAAAAATATATTCGTATACGAAGTCAGACAATACGTTCTCACAGAAAAATAAAATCTAGGAATGTTCCGATCAGGTTTTTGCTGCCGATTCCGATACGATCACCCATTAAGCCAATCTTTGCCGATCACCTGGATTGGCTGTAAATTTTTCGCTTTAGGTATAAATGCTGCTATGTGATCTGGCAAAATGGAAAAATGATCTGGCAATAAATTCACCTAATTTAGAAATAAATTACAAAATACTTGCAGGCACAGTACAGCAGCTATTCAGTCAAAAGGATAACTGAAAAACCTGCAATCAGTATAACAATATTTAACAGTAAAGTTCTCAACAGCTTAAATTATATATGAGTGAAATAAATCTCATAACACTGCCTACCTAAAATAATGTCGAAAAAAGAAATATTTATTCAAAGTCAAATGCAGGTTTCATCAAAATAAACAATACTGAGCTAGTGAATCTTTACTTCTGAAGAGCGGCTAGCTGATTAATGCTGGTTCTGATTGGTTGTTTCTGACTGAGTAATTCTGCAGAACACAGGGAGGAGACATCGATTTATTTTATTTTTTTCAGTAATTATCCATCTCATGGGGGCTGCACTGTGGCGCAGTTGGTAGAGCTGTTGCCTTGCAGCAAGAAGGTTCTGGGTTCGATTCCTGACCTGGGGTCTTTCTGCATGGAGTTTGCATGTTCCCTGTGCATGCGTGGGTTCTCTCCGGGTACTCCAGCTTCCTCCCACAGTCCAAAAACATGACTGTCCGGTTAATTGGTCTCTCTAAATTCTCCCTAAGTGTGAGTGTGTGGGTGCATGGTTGTTTGTCCTGCTTGTCTCTGTGTTGCCCTGTGACAGACTGGCGACTTGTCCAGGGTGAGCCTGCCTCTCGCCCAGAACGTTAGCTGGAGATGGGCACCAGCACCCTCCTGACCCCAGTAGGGACAAGGGTGTTAGAAAATGGATGGATGGATCTATCTCATGTTGTTACATAGTTTTAATACAAATATTTTTTTT